TCCAAAAAGAGTTCAAAAACATCATACTTCAGTAGTACATGCACACGCACGCTGACAGGATGAGAATTCCTAAGAAGCAAATTATAGAGGTGTCCTATATGTCAACAAAGAAACATGGTATATACTCACAATGGTGTTCAGTCAAAAAAAAAAAAAAAAAATTGAGTCATTCGTAGGAAAATGAATGGCTCTTGAGACCATAATGCTAAGTTGAACAACTCAGCCACAGAAAATTAAATTTCACTTGGTTTTTCTTCAATGATAAATGCAAAATATAAGTAATTTCAAGAGAGAATAAAAGAGAAATGAGGAAGAGGGAGAGAGACTTGGTGAATATGGGCAGGAAATCCAGGGAAGCAGCGGGAGGGGAGCACGGACCGGGAGAAAAGCAAAATGATCAGGACGCAGTACGTGCATGTACCAACTCTCCAAGGTGAACCTATTACTGTGTGTCATACACACACACCAGGAATAAAAATTTTAAAGTGTGACTCTCAAGAGAGAAAGTCCCTTCATGTAGGCAAGGATTCATTTTTCTTCCATATTCGTGGTTCGTTTTTGTTTTTGTTTTTTAGAGGAACAAGACCTTATTGTGCGGCCCAGGCTAGCCCAGGGGTTCACCCCGTGCCTGGGCGCAGTGGTCCTCCTGTCTCAGGTCCTGAGTCGCAGCGCACACAGGTGGTTGCCACCCCCACTGCTTCTCACTCTATATGCCAGATCACGGAATTGTGAAGTTGCAAAATTTATTGGAAAATTTCGTGTCAGTGGTACCTGTGGATAGAAAGCATCCTTAAAAAAAAATCACATGAAGTTATCTAAGAACGATCTTAGAGAGTGATCTTTCAATCAGTGTTTGCATGATAAACAGCAATGTTATGGTAAAGAAAGAAAGAGCTTTCTAGGGAGAATAAATACCATTTTTATAGACCAACTAAATAACAATCTTAGTTGTCGTTAAATACTTTAGTTATGAGTAAAGCTTAATAATATAACTTCACCAGTCTAAAAAAAACTGGATCCAAATTATGTCTCTAACAAAACAGGACAAGGTAAACTTCAGAATTTTATTTGTCCTGATACGTAATAGTTCAAAGGCCATGCACTAAACTTTTAGTAACTTTACAATAGGCAGAGGAGGCCAGGTATGGTGGCGCAGGCCTGTAATCCCAGCATTGGGGAGGGAGGCTGAAGCAGGAGGATTGGTGTGAATTAAAAAGTTTATGTTACAAAGAGAGTTCAGGGCTAGCCTGAACTGCGTAGTGAAACTCTGTCAAAAGGACAAAAATAAATAAATAAATGAACAAATAAATAAATAAACTAATAAAATAAAACAGGCAGAAAGGCAGAAAACGTAGAAGTCTCTACATGTAACCCTACATTATTCGTGTTTTAAATTTAGTTCTGACGGAAAGAAAAGCTTGTCATTTATTTGTTCAGTGGTTTTAAATGGGTATGAAGATGGGCCATAATTCTTGAACGTGTATGTGTATCTCTTTATTTATTTGAGTACACACACAGCCAACTTTCATTATGTTTTTTAGGATGTATTTGTAAGCCTTGGAGCAAATATGGTATCCTGTTTTACAAAGGTGTTGGCTGAGTCCAAGAATTAAAGTTAATGTAGAATAGTTAATGCATATGTGGCATAGGGCCTTCATAAAGAAACAAAAATGTTAACATACTGGATTGGACGTAGAATAATAAAAGTTAATACCGTGGCTAAATGTGTGAGGAGCTTTACGTGAGTTTTACAGTATTCTCTCAGTCTCAACGTTTCGCCTTTTATAAGGCACTCCCTGCCCTGTGCTGTTTGCGTGCCTGGCTTCATTTCCACAGGGATTCTCTTCCATCTTCTTTTTTTAAATTTTTCGGGGAAAAAGTACAACACTATGTCATAACAAAATAACAGGAGAGTAAAAACAGTTAACACATTACGTTACCTTTAAAGTCATTACTCAGAGTACAAGTTATGGGCATAAAAATCTCTCCAATGGGTATTAGCACAAACCTCCTTTTTTAGTGAATTAAGGGACACTAGTAGTATAACTTGCATTGTTTTCCTTTTCCTTTCCTTCCTTTCCCCTTTTCCCCACCTTAGTTCCTTCTCCTTGTGAACAATTTCTTCCCATTTCACAATAAAGACTGAGGCCTTTCTTCCACTACAGGGACCCATCTTTCTCATGAGGATTCTATCTTTCGCTTCAAAAAATAGTAAACACTTTTTTTCAAGTGCCTTCACTCAAATGGCCAATACATCAGATTAGCAAGTTTTAACTTTTCCATTTCTTCCATCTGCAAGTCCCCTGGATGTTTTATTTTGAAAGCTGATTTAGTGGCTGTGAGAAGAACAACTGGGCTAATAGCTGAGGAGCCACAGGAAGGGGAAGGTGAGTCTCTGGAAAAGAAGTTTCAGCTTTAATTTTCTGGATCCAGAGCACATTTTAAAGTGATGAATGCCACCTGAGATACACGTCCCATCCAAATTGTTTTATTTTACAGTGACTGCCTTTAAATTGAGTGCTAACTAAATAAGGGTGGAGAGCTTGAATGGTCCCTGAAATGTCTGAGCATGTCATCAACTAGAGTCTGGGATTGGAGGTTTCTTGGAATGACCTTGAATTACTGAAAGTCCATAATGTAAATAAATTTATTTAGGACGTTTGGTTTAACAGTAAATATGCAAAAACAAATGGAGAACAACAAAACAGCCACGTGCACAACAAAGAACAAAGTGCAAACATATTCACTAGGAAGGAGGGAGAGAGGTTCCTCATAAACAAGGGAAAGACTCCTCATACAACAGTGCAAATATCAGTGCAGGACTGAGGTTAATGGAGTTGGAGGTTCGGAGAGAGATGCAGGTGAGGAAGGCTTTCTAAGGGACGGATGTGGGATCCCCATGCAGTAATCCTATCAGCAGTTACTCCCTGAGGTGAGTCTGCTTTGGACCCCACTTCTGGCACCAAGTAATGTCCTAATCAATTGGAAATGTAAAGGCGAATCTGTAATCATGGGACTTTTATTTTGATAAACAAAGGATAGACTGCAGTGCAGGTCACATATCACAGAGTAGGGTGGCTTCTGGATGTCTGAAGAGCAAAACAAAGTGGATTTCACCGGGGAAGAGTTATTTGAAGTGATCTGAAATAAAGCTTGATGACACAGAAAGCATTATATAAGAGCATGACTTTTTGATGAATGGCTGAAATTACTACTTGAAAGTAGTATGTATACATATGAGGTGCTCTACCATTAGGTGCTAAATAAAGTCAGTCGTGAGGGTAGGTCAGGACCTTCCATCAAGGTGGTCGTAGGAGACAGTTCCTGAAGCAGGCCTCCATGAAGTCAGCAGTCTCCCACCCAAGGCTTCTCAACTCTACTTTAGTGGTTGTGACTCCACTTGAGAAATGACTGCCTTTTGCATAGTAATTTTCAAAGGAGCGCACAGAAGCTAATAAAATGAAATCATCCTACCATTCTAGGAAAAATGGAACAATTGATGTTACTGGTACTCAACCTCAAGTCTGAATCTCACAACCAAGGGCTCTGCAGATTAGAGGAATGACAAGCACTATAGTGCAAAGAACATTCCTATCCCTCCCTAAGCTTTTACAGATGAAACATGAACTTTTAAAAAGGAAATGTCTCCCAAGCAATTGGTATGAGTGGAGGTAGCGGAGCGTATCAGTCTGTTTAATGTTGATTTACCAAAATACCTGAAGAAGGGAACTTTATTTTTAAAAGAGGTTTATTTAGCTCACAGTTCTGGGAGCTCTAAGTCCAAGACTGAGCGGTCCCACTGATTTATCTTCTGGTGAGGGCCTAACAGCAGAGGGCATCATAATGGCAGAAGTGTATGTAGAAGAATTCATATGGCACAGCAGGAAGCCAGAGACAGTCAGAGGTCAGGCTCCTCCTCTCAAACACCTTACCATTACAGGAACTGACATGGGAGCTACAGCAAGGACTACAGAGAAGAAAACGCCATGGGGCAAGAATGAACAAATCAGAGCAAGGATGACAAGGTCAAAATACAGAAATCCAATGTATACAGGTCACCCCGCCCACCAAGATTCCCACGCGTGCACAAACCCGAAAACACATGACCCTTGCCTGTGTCTAACCTCATTTGGATTGTAGTTTTGACACCGCCCCCATGGGTTTTGGTCACCAGGGCATCTCCCCTAAAAACTATTTGTGGTCAAAAACTACACACTCCTGTGGGGTGGGTAGAGTCAAGACCCAGGTGAGCCATGCCTCCTGCCAATTCCTAGCTGTAGACTCTCCCAGAATCCCAGGACCTTAAAAGGCCCCGTACCTGCCCTTATCCAGGCCCTGAGGGTTTCTCTCTGGCCAGCTTCCACCCGGTGGCGGGCATCCTCACCCCATGTGAAAGTGCTTATGCCTTTTAAAATAAGTCTTACTCTTGTTACTGCTTCTGAGCGTCCTCCTCAATTCTTTGTTCAGGTTACCAATCCCTCCCTCCACCCCCAAGCAATTCCCCTGAGACCCTCCAGGCCATAACAACACTGCTTAGGGTCCCACAAGAACTACACTCCGGGTACTTCCAGGTAGTGTGGTCCGCGATGCCCTAGCTACTCGGAAGACTGAGTCAGAGTGAGCAATTGAGTCCCAGAACTCCAGGCCGGCCTGGGCAACATCAGGAAACGCCTCAAACTCAAGCTCAAAGCAAGCCTAAACCCAACAAAACCTTCTTTAACCCCTTCCCAGGGCAGCACCCCCACCTTCAACCTAACGCTTTCGCTAGGCCCCACCTCCAAAGGTCCTACCACCCCTTAGCTCCCCACAGGAAACTCTTTAGGGGGCAAAACGCTCTGAAGTTTAAAGACATCAAATCCCATGTGCTGCACACGTAAAGGGACTCCAGGTTACTGTCTTCTCACTTCAGGCAAAATTCAGGTAACTTTTAAAACTGTTCCCCCAGATACCCTAGGAAAACATCAACCAGTGGTCTGCAATGAAGTTACATGACCGTGCACCTTGGTGGTCAGAAGGGAGTTTCAAGGAAGGTTATTTTTAGATTGAAAGACAACGAAGTACACCGGCTGATCGGATCCCCCCGCGGCGCCCGGCCCCGA